ATAAGTTTAAAATTACTAAATAAATTCATATAAAATCATAATAATACAAATAAACCTCAACAGATCAATTTATTTGGACTAAAATTTATGAAAACCCACAACAAAATGACATAATTTGCTGCCAGCTTGTTGACGTCACAAAACCTAAGACGCTGATTGGTTAAGGGAGAAAAAACTTGGATGGAAAGTAGAACATGCTCTACTATCGTCCAAGAAGTTGGACCAAGTTCTTGGATGTTTGTTTACACGATCAAAGCTCAAAGCAAAACAAGTTTCCATCAATATCAATCAATCTCTGTCCAAGAAATTGGATCGTCTAAACAGGCCTTTCGTCCAAGAACTTGAATCGTATAAACAGGTTTTTAGGTCACGTGTCTGTGTATCAATGATCCTCTTCTTCTAAAATTGCAAGTACCCAATTACTTAACTTATTTTCGTAAGAACTTCGTCTGATCCTCAGCTGCAAGTTTTTGATTCGACGATTTCTCATAGGATTTATTGTTAGTGCTTCCAAATGATTCAAAATTCCTCATGATCTATTCTAGGCTCTTGGATATAAGTTAATATTTGTCAAATTTTAATAATTTATTTCCTTGGTTTTTATCTGAAAATTTTCTGCTTAATAAATTCTCATAGTTTAAACTATAACTACAAGTTGACTTTTGAAAAAATTCCTTTAAAATTTGTACTTGGTTCTTAGATATAAATTAACTTTTTATCAAATGCTCGAATAATTTTTGTTTGATCCCTGGCTAAAAGTTTATTATTTTATAACCGTCGTTGAACAGCAGACCCAATTTTGAGTTTACGTCTACTCAAAATGTTGTTCAACTCCGTAGCCTTGCGATATTGAATCCAATTCAGATGACAAGGGAAATCCAGGTTTAAGCATTGAGATAAATTTTGCTTTCGTAGCTTTTTTGATGCAACTAATCCTCATTTGCGTTATATGGGGGGAAAACCTTGAAAACCTCCCATAGTTAGTCTGATGGCGAGTAGACTCTAACCCATGAACTGTCTACCACTAAGGATATTTTGCGTCAGCACTGTTGTTGGTGCCAGCTGGATGAGGAATTCTTATCGACCAGCCGAAGCTAGGATTCGAACCCGGTTCACCTGATGGGGAGGAAATTGGTCTATCCCCTGAGCCACCACGACTCAAGTTTATTATGTAGAGAATTCCAGTAGTATTAACATTTGTGCCTTAGAAAGAAGTCAGTATTTGATAAGTTCTCTTGGGATTTATGTTTCAGCCTTAGCTGCAATTTTAGTATTTGATTAATTGTCAAAGGATTTATGCTTAATTGCTTACACGTTAATTGAGTTACGAGTGATTTGTTATTGGGATTTTGCTAGAGCTAATGTTCTACACTGAAATAAAAGTTTTGCTAAATGAAAAATATACTCATAATAAAGACATTTCTGATTATTAAAAAACGATAAATCTGGTAATAAACACTAAAATTTAAGAGCTATATATTATTTGATAAATGCTGTAAATCATTTATTTGAAAAATTTTCTGTTCAGTGTTTCGGAAATTCAGGTTTTTTTAATTACAGTTCTTTCCGTGGATTAACTGCAAATTTGATTTAATTAAATAAAAACATTTTGTATTTATTGAAAAAATTATTATATTTTTAAAAAAAATGGGTGAAATTTCATAGGCGCCTCTTGCTCCCAAAACACATTTCTGAACTTTTTAAGTAATTTACTGTATCATGAGAATGTTACAAAGAAAAATACACATACATTGTAAGAGTATGAGTGTTTATTTGAATATGTATAATCAACAAATTTTTTGCTGCATTTATAAAAGTAATTGATAGTACCTAATTAAGGTGTGAACATTACAAATCTGTCTTTAGTTTTGTTTTGAAAGCTGCAAATTTTGTTTCAAAATAGAATTTCAGTATTTTCTTTCTTTTTTTTGTCTGTATGAGCAAGTTTATAAAGAACATACAGGTTCATTTGCGTATATACAATCGTCAGCTCCTATGATAACAACAGTTAAGAAAAAAAAACAAAAAAGGCTATCATATCGCTTCGTAAGCTACAATGTATTATACCTTTTTTGCTACCACTTCCTACTTAGCAGAGAAGTGGGGCACTTAGTACTCACTCGAAGGAATTTTAAAAAAATCATGTTTTGTTTATTAATCCCGATTATTAGATTGCATAAAAGCTGTAGATTGTTGAGGGAAACTGAACAACATTGCAGATTTTAAAACAGCGACGGGAAAATATCTAAGATTCGTTTAAATTTACATTTTGTTTTACAAATCATTTTCACACAGACATGTGTCCCTATCTTTTGTGTAATTATTGTAACAAGTACGAAAAGTGCCTCATGGCTCTAGCTGCGTAAAATATAGTTTCTAGGCTACACGCAACACTTTTTTTCTTTAGAACGATAATGTTTAATTGCAGTATCGATTCTTGTAGAGTCAATAAACTTAATTTCATCATCAAAAATTATCTGATGACTTTATAGAATGCAATTACAGCCCACTCTCATTTTCTTCTGAGAAATTGCAAGCAAGTAAAAAAGATTATTCATACAAAATGCAATAAGGAGGGCCACCAACTGATGAAAGGGCTCTGCTTATTGCATTTAAGAACATTACATTTACATTTTAACAACAATTACACATGAAAAAAAAACTAGTTTGGAACCATGCCTTTAACTTGTAAAGGGCTCTCACTTTTTTCTTTAATTTTCTTAGCATTTTTTTTATAATCAATCTAAATTAAAATTTGAATTTCTACACAATTTACTTCTAAATAAAGCTTCAAGTTATTTACAATTTGATGCTGTCTACAAATTTATCTTATAATATTAGGATCCAAACCCTTGCATGGTAGCTAAAACTTGTCGGCTCTTTCAGAAGGTTCCCAAGTAGCTTTGTGCTCAGGGCTCTCAGATCTGTAAATCAGAGCCTTCATGAATGCTTAAAATTATTCATTTACCCCTCAATGTACCATAACGAAGAAATTTATATACTATATTTCCTCCGAAGGCTTGCAAGTATGGTCTGGTGCAGCATTTGGAACATCTTCTATTCTACGGGGCAGACATGAACGCGAGAAACGCGAGCGGAAACACCCCACTTCACGTGTGTGCAGTCAACGACCAGGAGAGCTGTGCCAGGGTTCTCCTGTTCAGGGGAGCTGACAAGAATGCCCTCAACTACGCCAATCAGAATCCACACCAAGTGGCCGTCATAGCTGGAAATCTCAGGTTAGCAGAAATCATCAAGAACCACAAACCAGAGGATGTGGGTAAGTCTTCTTGGCAACGGTTATAAAATGTCATCTTATATATTCAAAAATGGCCAAGTCCAAAGAAACGGTTCAAACGCCGGGTATTTGATCTCAAATCCATTCGTCGCAGTCTTGCCTTGGCTTCCAAATTTTTTTAAAGCAGAATAGAACAAAAAATTTTTAATAAAAGGCATTCTTCAATACACTTGAAACTCAAAAGTTTTTCCTGAGTCACAACGAATAAAGGCGAAGTCCGTATGACTTATTTTTTTGAAATAAACAGAAATAGGTATTTAAGCAATCAGCAAAACTTGTGAGAAAGTCCCAGGTCTTCTCTTGGCTGTGTTCAAAAGGTAAAATGCGAACTTCCTCTTGAATTCTAATTCAATCAGGAGTTTTGAAATACTGAAAGATGTTCGTATGTAAGAGTTTTGCAAAATAATGGTCTCTTTCATTCTGCCAGCAAATCCGACCTCTCGTTTTCATCTATACAACTGTGAACGGATATAAATTAATTCCTCAACGTACTAGGGACAGATTTTTAAATTAATTCCTCAAAGTACTAGGGACAGATTTTTAAATTAATTCCTTAAAGTACTAGGGACCGATTTTTAAATTAATTCCTCAAGTTACTAGGGACCGATCTTTTTTTAAAAAAAGATAGGCATTTAAGCGATTGTGTATAGTTAAAGCAGAAAATAACAGAAAATATTGCAGGACGAGGAAAATCTGGAACAGCAGGACTTGAAACTTTGAAAAATTTCCAGGTTCTTCCCTTCGTTTAAAAAGTAAGAAATGAATATCCACTTGAACTTCAATTCAATCAGGAGTTTTGCGATAGTGAAAAATGCCAATGATGAGTTTTTTTTTGCAAAATGGAGGTCCTTTTCTTTCCCAGGAAATCGGAACTTTCATTTAGCCCTCAATACCATAATGAGGGAATATAAATTGCAGGTAAATAAAGTTAGTCAAGATGAATCCAAAAGCATAAATGTGTATTAATGTGAGATAATAAATTTTAGTCATTGGGAAGCACAGTTACAGTTGAAGAAAAAAAAATATTTTGCTTTTTATTTAAAAAAAATGACTAATCTTCTTCTTCAAAAAAGTTCAAATACAGTTCTGCGCGTCTTTAGTAGTCAGATTGAGTTAATCCTATTATAATAATTATGTGTGTGGTTGGACCATCTTGCATCAGGTTCGTCTTATTTAAGATGGGCATGCAGCTTTAAGGGCCTTAATAAGATGTTTGCTAAGAGGCTGATTTTATAAATAAGGTCTTTAATTTTTCTTTTTTAGAAATCGAAAACTTTTTTTTATTTTTTAAATTATTTAAGCCATTTTCATGAGATTGGTTTGATTTTCAATATCATTTTAGAGTCTTAAAGTTTCGTTTATTTTTCTGATCATAACTACCCTTGCTGTCAATACATTTTTTGCAGACGCCATGCTATTTCCGCCATGCTATTGAGAAAGCTGTAAACGTCATATTTATCTTCCTTGTTGGAGAAGACGCTTTTGTAGTCGAAATAAATGGAGTTTATACCTAATGGGAGAATATCAAACCATGAATCTTATAACCGTAGCTTAACAGCCTTCCCAATTTTGAGTTTACGACACCTTCAACTCTGTGGATTTATAACTAAGAGTCCATAACTAAGAGAAGACAAAGAAACTCCTAGATCAAGCACTTTGAGAAATTTGCCTTTATGGAGGACTTTCTGATGGAACTAACCCACATTTGCGACACTTGGATAGGACAACCACGAAAACCCCCCACGATTAGCCTGACAGAAAGGAGGCTCTAACCCATGATCCGTCTACCACTCAGGATATTTTTCGTCAGCACTGTGGTCGGTTCAAGCCGGTTGTGGAATTCGGATAGACCAGCCATAGCGGGGAATCTAACCCGGGTCACTTCATTGGGAGGGAGGAAAGCTCTCTATCCCTTGAGCCACTATGCCTTAGCTGGCAGCTTTTGTGGAACACTGATAAAGCCTAGATGAGCATTTCAGAACCAAATAAGGGAAGTGTAATCAACGCTTACGCACTTGTCACAAATCAAACCGTTACTCACACGGTACAGCTTCAATGGAACATGTATCCTATGCACTGCCCACGCAACCTTCGCAAAACGTGCACCCTATAGTTGTTACTTTGCACTCATTGCCTACCTCCTTTTATCAAGTTTTGGCCTATTGAGATAGCTGAAAGTGTGCAAGATTTTCCGATGGATGTGACAAGGCGCTGGTATGACATAGGTTTTCTAAACCTTTACTGCGTCCACAAAAATTTAACGAAAATAGACAAAAGTTGAAACTATAATGTATTTCAGAAAACAAAATAAACAGGTTTTGTAGTTCTAGCATTTTTTTAAAAAACAGATGAATTTTTCCGTTATATTAAATGATCATGTAAAGAACTTGTCGTAAAGCGGCTTCGTGAATCATTCAGATCCTGCTAATTTGAGAGGGGTGTATTATGGCACCCCTATAGAAATGAACTGAACTTTTCAAGGCTGGAGGATCAGTTTAGCCGGGGGAACTTATTCACTTCTTTATAGACAAATACAATCTATACATATATATATGTTACCGTGAATGATCGAAATCAAAAGATTGTTGACTCTCACCGGTGAATGTTAACAAACTCATAGTCGCTTTGGTGAATATCCGAAATATTTGATATATCCGATTTCATATTAATTTATTTCTTAATATTATTATACTTATTCGATATTTAAATTATGCTGAAGATAGATTAAGAGAAACGTCAATGTTTGGAGTACCGGGCATATGTATACCGGTCAGCGGAACTGAACCTTAAAAAAACATCAGTGTAGGGTATACCGGGCAAATGTATACCAGGCAGTGGCGATTAACTAGACTCGGTATATATTTCGGACATTTGCCAACGCGACTATGTGAGTGTCAACATTCACCGGTGGTAGGCAACAACCACCCATTTCTGTCATTCACAGTAACAGACACATGAATATATATATATATATATATATA